GGGTGGGGGGTTGGGGGAAGGGGCTAACTAAATTTCTAGGCTCCAAGAACAGGATTCCTGTGTGGGAGCTGCACCTGCAAGGCGGGCAACAGACACCAGGAGGCCAGGTCCAGCGCCCACCTTTATTCACGGACCCTCGGGCTCCAGGACACACAGACACTTGGCTTCTGAAGGGCACAGGAAGGCGAGGGGCCCTGCTGACCCTCCCGGCACAGCCCAGAGAGCCAGGACAGGCTGGCAGCACCATCACGTCAGGGCCGGCCCTGGCACCCTGCCCAGGGGCCACTGCAGTTGCAGATACCAGGTGGCCAGGCCTGGGTGCTGGGGCCCCTCCGGTGGGGTGCAGCAGTATCTTGAGCCCAGAGAGCTGGAGCCATCCTGAAGCTGATGCAGGGGAGGATCTGGCTGGAGAGGAACAGGGTGGAGGGGGACCCCCAATGGGGATGAGGGTGGGGCTGCCTTTGTCCTGCGTTATGGCCACCTCCAGGATGGGACTGACCCAGTCTGTCAGCCTGGGAGGCTGCTGCCCAGCCCCTTTCCCTCCTGACCCTGGAGTGGTGGCGGTGACAGGACAGGAGGGAGTTGCCGTCAGGGCCCCGGCAGGAGGCACCAAGAGGCAGCTAGGTGGGTGAGGGAGAGAGCAGGCAGGCCCCCATGACGGGGGCGGCTTGAGTCCCCTAGGGAGGGGAGGGAGGACATCAGGGAGGAGGCGGGTCCTGGCCATCCGTCTGCCAGTCCTGGGGTGTGCAGCCCCGAGTGCGCCCATCCCCGTCCTGGGCCAGCTGCCGCGTCGTCCCGCCGGGGCCCTGGCGCCCTAGGACTTCTTGGCGTCCTGCACACTGCGGCGCCTCAGGTCGCTCAGGTCGATGGGTTTGAAGGCTGCCAGGGGACAGCGCGGTCAGAGGGCAGGGCCCCGCAGCCCCCTCAGGTCCTGGTGTTGCTGTCTCAGAACAGATGGGGACGCGAGCGGAAGTGGGAGGCAGGCCCTGCCCAGACCCCGGGTGGCCCACTCACTCTTCAGGCTGGGGTTGGGGACCTTCTCCACGTACTCTTCCACCAGGCCGCGCTCGCTGCCCGCCAGCTGGCTTCGCAGGTCCCTCTCCACGCCCTGCCAGGCTGCAGCCAAGCACAGGGTGGCAAGGTCAGCCATGGCCCCAGGGCATGGCCGTCGAAGCCGGGCCAGAAGCACAGACCCAGCACCTGCGACCAGGGCCCTCGTCCCTCCCAGAAGCACCCTCCTGCTGACCCACCCACCCCAGCACTGCGGCCAGATGCCCAGCCCTCTAGCTCCACTCCTGCACAGACCTGCATGGTGGGCAGGCTCCCCCCGGAGGCCAGCAGGGCCGAGTGTCTCACCTCCTCTGCTCGCCCCCTCATCCTTGCCACACAGGCTGCCATGCCTGCACTGCACTCTCAGGTGGGTGCACTGAGCGCTGAGGACTGACTCCAGAGGCCTCTTCTGGGACACAGCCTATTCCCCAGCCCCCCTTCCTGGGACCACACTCCTCGAGACCAACAGGTGGCGTGGTGGGTAAGGCGCTGGACTTCCCGGTTCAGTCCTGGCCCTGGCAGCTTGCTCTCTCACGTTCTCTCTGGTGAGTCCCCGTGCCCATTGCAAATTTAAACATAATAATAATGATAGTAAGTACAATTAAATCTTTTTTTTTTTTTTTTTAAAGAAACCTCACCAGGCAGAGCCCCTCTGTCACCCCTAACCTGCCCAGCCACTTGGAGGGCTGAGGAAGGAACCGTGGGTGAGAAAGGGGCTCCTGGCCCCTGGTCAGCCCGGATGGCCGCCGTGCAGAGTGCCCACCTTCGTAAATGAAGCGTACATTCTCCTCGTGGGCCGGAGTGAAGATCTCGCTGCAGCTGGGGGGGGAGCGTGGGCTGCTGTTCCTCTTGCCGTTGTAGACCACTCTGGAGACGGGGGAGCTGGCAGAGGGTGGCACATGAGGGAGGGCTGGGCACACCCCACCCCCAGACCAAGGCCACCGCACCCGCCTGGGGCCCACCTGGTCATTGCTGGGGCGTCTGGTCCTGGCACTCCGCTGTGGCGTCCTGTGGGCCTCTGAAATGCAAGCCCGAGCACAGGGATGGGGCGGGGCTTCAGCCTCAGCAAGGCGGACAGGTGCAGGACTGCAAACAGACCCCAGGTAGGCTCTAGGCTGGCTGATGCGCCGGTCAGCTGGATGGGGCCAGAGGCAGGCACGAGTGTGGCGTGGAGCCCACTCTGGCTGGGGCTCCGCGAGCCCGTCCACGCCCTCAGCCCAGCAGCCCTGCTTAGGCTCCTGTTGCAGGGGCCGCCGTAGGCCTGACCCTGCACACTGTAGGGTTGGCTGTGCTGCTCATGGCCTCACCTTTCTACCCATGAGCTGAGGACCAGGGTCTAGGTGGCGAGGAGCCCAGGGCAGCCAGAGGCCCAGGGGCTCGTGTGAGCCAAGTCAACCCTGAAGGTGGAGCCAAACCTGGTGACGGCCCAGAACTATCAGCAGCCTTTCTCACACACCAGGGACCTTGCACAGCCCTGGGGATGGGGTCTGCTGGACAGCACAGCTCTCTGGCCAGGATGCAGCCTGATGAGGAAATCCAGCTCTGCCCTGGCCCCTGTGGGTTACGGCACTTGGGGTCTTCCCCTCTGGCCGCTCAGCACCACATGGGCATCCGGGCTGGTGCACACCAGCCTGCAGCTGAGGGTGAGGCCGGCATGGCAGCGGGGCAGCTCCCATGAGCACACTCTGCAGGACCTCAGCCCCTGCCCAGGCCTACAGCCAGGGCGAGCCAGCCCGGCGGGCCCAGGATCTCCGCCCACGGTCTTCCATCAGAGCCACGGACCCACACTGAAAAAAGCCCTCCCTGGCCTGCAGGCTCCACAGACACTGGCCTGCAGAGCTGACCACGCACCCAGGGCAGTTACTCAGAGGGCCGCTCAGGGGTCGTGCCAGCTGCCAGCCCGCCCACCCCACCTAGCTGGGTCGCTCCTCTGTGGGCTCTGGCTGCCACGGTAGCCCTGCAGTCTGCCCTTCCTACCAGGCTGGCTGTTCCTTCAGGGCACTGGCCCCAGAGCACCTGTGCCTGCTCCTCTCCTCCTGGACAGCCTCTGCCTCAGCCCCTCTGGCTGCCGCCCACACCTGCGGACCCTGCAGCCCAGATCCGATGGCATGGAGAGCTGTGCTGGTGACCTGCACCCCAAACCCCTGGGACACTAGGCCTCCACCTGGGGTCCCCCGCCAGGCTTCCACCTGCTCACCCCTGGCAGTGCCGTGGAGGGCCTGACACTGGGCACCCACTCATGTGCCAGGGCTGCCACTGCTCACCAGGCTCCTCCTGGTGGGTGCCTGGACCCCCACAGGCTCTTTCTTGCACACTCGGGACGTGAGGGCAAGATAACCATTTATTTTATTGAATTCATTCTTTTTTTTTTTTTTTGCTATAGGGCATGTGTGGTCATCAGAAAAAGAGACAGAAAGCAAGAATCAGCCCCAGGAGGACGGCCATCCGCAGTCCCTTCTCCTCCACTCTCCTCTTGGGATTTTGGGCACGTACACACATGCGCCTGGCATGAGGTGTTTTTGTTTTAATATTTACTTAATCTCATTTATTATTTTTATTTTTTAACTTGACCACAGAGAGACAAAGAGAGAGAGAAAGGGAAAGTGAGAAAGTGAGCTGCCAGGTCCAGGACTCGAACTGCGATTGGCCATGTGGGAGTCCAGTGCCTTTAACTACCACGTCACCTGTCCGCGCCCACCCCCCCTTTAAGCCTCCAGGTCTGGGACTCAAGTGAGTACGTGGGAGTCCAGTGGTGTGACCATTACGCCATCTGTCGTCCCCAAGACAACCATCTAAGAGGATGCCCTCCAGGGCCTGTGGCATGGAGGTCAGGTGACCAGACCCCACATGCCGACGCCCCAGATCCCGAGGAGGAAGTGGAGAAGGGATGGCGCTGTGAGCACGGCCCAAGGGGATGCTCTCTCACTCCCCCACCCCCGCCACTCTCCAGAGCACACACCCCGGCCCACGGGGAAGGAAGCAGCAGTGCCTGCCAATCTCCCGCTACGGGAGGGCACATCCAGCCAGGCCCAGTGCCCCAGCCGTGTCCTACCTGCGAGTCCCCTTGGACAGAGGCTCCTCTGGCTTCTCCCTGCGGCTCAGCCCGGTCCCCTCCAGGGCCTCTGCTGGCCCCCCCACATTGGACGCACCAACAGCTTCCCCACAGGCGGGGTGCTGCTGCTCCTCGGGACACCAGCGGTGGTTCTGCCACTCACCCACTCTCCCCACCTCCTGGGGCTCCTCCAAGCAGCGACCCGCAATTCCAATCCCAAAGAAAATGTCATTTAAAAGATCAAACAGGCAGGGTCAGCTGGTAGCATGGTGGGTGAGGCGTCTGGGTTCCCCGTGGCTGACTGCGCAGTTCTGGTCTGGACCCAGTTCTGGTCCGGCTTGAGGAACATGCTGGGCACATGTATTCATGCTCAAAACCCCAAGAGGAGAAAGGAGGAGGGATTAGGGTGTGGCCCATGGGGCGGTCTCTCTCTGCCCCCAAGCAAGCACATGTCCCTACAGCAGATGCTGAGAGACCCACCAAGCTGCGGAGACTGGCCTCTGAGCTGGGGGGACACTGTCCATGCTGAGTGGCCCAAGGGTGAGAGGTGGCCTGACCCAGGCGGCCACAGGGACAGGACGGAGGCCCAGTCAGCAGGCAGGGCTGCCCCTCTTCCATCCGTCCAGCAGCATGGGCTGTGCGGGTGTGTCACCCCCAGACACCCGGGCCTGGCTTGTCCCCTCTTGGTCACAGCTGTTTCTAGGCAGGACCGCGGCCTGGATGTGGGGTCGACCTCTGCCACCGTCACCGCCACGGGCGCTTTCTCCCACCTTCTTTCCTGTCTTTCATTGCCAGAGGGTACACGTGCTCACCAGAGAGGAAGGAGCAAGAGACCAAGGGGGTGTGCTCACCACACGACCCCTTCTCTTCCACTTCTCCACCCTCACAGGGCTTCGGGCACACACACCTGTACCAAGCACGTTTTTGCCATAGGGCGGGCGTCACCACGCCCAACCAGGCATGTTTTTCAAGGCACTAGGGCTGGGATTCAACCGCGCAGTTGTCACTGTGGGGTCCTGCTCTGTTAGCCACCAGGCCACAGAGCTGGCCGACCAAGTGCAGACAATTTTGAGTGAAAAGGAATCTGCTGATGCTTACATGGAACAGGACAGTTTTGGGGGAGAAACAGAGCAGCCCATGCAGAGGAAGGCAGAGACCCCAAAAAGTAGAGGGCAGGGGACCAGCACAGCCATGGCACACCCAGTTGGGAAGGTGCCCAGACCGCCCGGTCTCGGGGTGAAGATGAACTGCCACCTAGCCGTGGTGGCCCGAATGCCCATGGCAGGACCACAGCGGTCCAGGTCCGTCAGGTGCTTCGGCCTGCCCAGAGCTGTCTCAGCCCCTGCCTGCACCCTGGCAGGTTCAGGACCCCCGGTACGCCCACACCCACCCCTACCGGCTCTGCTCCAGACTGAAGGGGGTCTCGCTGGAGAAGGATCCACACAGAACCTGCCTCATCCACGGGACCTGAAGGCATTGGAGACTTCCTGGGGTGGCAGGGTGGGACCCAGAACACAGGGCGCAGGACAGGCCAGGACCCCAGTTTCCAGCCCCCAAGTCCCATATGGCCAAATGCCTACGGACACGCTGTGAGGTGACACTCTGCAGCCCAGCAAAGTGGCCACGATGCTCAGAGCCAGGACAGGGGCTGCAGCTGCGCCGCCCCGAGGGCTCCCGCCTCCATTCCCGCTTTCTAAGTCTTCCTTGGCCAGGGAGACTGCACCCACCTCCACCCACCACCCACCTCCACGGGGTGTGCTGCCCACGGGAGGTGCTCTGCTCACGGGGGGGGGTGCTCTGCCCACAAGGAGGGGTTCTCTGCCCACGGGAGGGCGCCCCGGAGGGCGTCCGGGGACGGCTGGGACACTGCCAGCGGGAGGGCGGACGGGTCTGAGACCCGCTCCTAGCAGAGCCCTCAGCAGCCCTGCCTGGCAGGCTTCCGCGGTTTCGGGGGAGCCCTGGGCACACGCGCCCCCGCCCCTCCGGCCTGGCCTTCCGGGGCCTCCGCTCGGGGTGCGCCCCCGCCCAAAGAAGTCCACCAGC